GTTAGCCATTATGGGTGAAGACCATCTCTCAGCAGCGGTCCATTTGTGCTGCGAGGCGCTCATTAGTGATGTGAGTGTCCTTAGCCAAGTAGGCATGGACCATAATCAGGGCCAGGTGCTGTCCGTATTTTTCATACCTGAGACTCTTTCCGATACTGCCTGCTGTGATGGTAACTGAGTTCGTTCTGGGAGGTGGCTGTGCGTCCTCTCTCAGGGACACCAGCCTATTGTGCACTGCTGTTATGTGCTGCATCCTTCTCCCAAATGTACTTTCCAGAACTGTTCAGTTTCCGCCTCGGAGGTCTTCTCCCCGATGCTACCCAGTTTGTTACCCTGTTGTTACCCTGCCACTGAGCGTAACACCTTCGCAGGTTGTGTTGCGAACAGCCTGTTCACCCTTCTGCTTCAATCTCCTTTAGTGTACCCACTGAAGCGGCTGGCAGGCTTGGAGCAATTGTTGGCAGTTTCGAGTGCTTCAGGTATTGTTTATCTGGCTGTACTTTCTGGGTACTGTCTTCTTCATTGCACCTCTCTGGCCTCGTGTAATGACCTCACTTCTCTCCGAGCTCAACCTTGGATCTCCGCCTCCACCCGTCTTTTCATGGTGGGTATAGTCCATGGCTCCCATGGTTGCTCTTATAGCCAAGCATCTCCCTAGGATCACTGCTGCAAGAAGTGTATACAGCTCATTGGTTCAGTGATTGTGGTGGTAGGATATTGCCCTCACTGCTGCATTCACGTTTCTATGGAGATCCTTATGTGGGTACTTCACACAACGCTGTAAACCGGTGTCTTATGCCCGTGCCCAATTTAGCCATGAATATAAGCATTCAGGTCAGTCCTGCCATCGATAATTTTAGGCAGCAATATTTAAATTAATATTATTTTTAGTTAAAATATTGAATAGTGTGTGTGTTTTTGTGTGGTTTTTTGATCAATGGATATAATAACTTTGTGGATTGAAAAATTTGGGGTGTGTATTATAGATCAAGTTTTTTGAGGGTATTATGTTTGTGGTAATGGGGGGATTTTAAGAATTTGAGTATGTTTAAAACAGATATGTAGGTATTTTTAGAAAATGAGATTTTCATGTAGGATTTAATATATAATACGTTTATGGTCTACGACGCTATCAAAAACTTACTGGACCCATATCCTGTGGCAATCTACATAAGTTCACCCTGACCAACCTAGCTTCACACACATATAACTTCGGGTATGCCAGATATGACACAGTTATTCTCCTCGGCAGTGGCAAGGAAACTGCATCAAATTGTCAAGCGGTACGACGAAGAAAAATATTTTACTAAGACGCTGGGGAATACCGCAGATAGGGGTGGGTTTCACACACACACACACACAGTGGAGGGGGGGTCGTTGTTGACAAACAGTAGTGTTGTTACGTTAGATTTTGTAAGTAGGGTTAGAAATTATTTGTAATAATAGGCCTATTTGGTTTGGCGTGACATTTTGGTGCAATAGGGTTGGTATGTTTATTTGTTACTTAATATATAATATATAAGAGAATAATATATAAATAGGAAATGGGGGTATTGATTTTATGTTGAGGGTTTTGAAATATGAGTTATGGGATTTGGAATTGTGGAGTTCGGAAAATATATTATGATTTTTGAATTTTTATATTGTGAATGATCGAAAATACGCTCCTTGAATGTAAGCACGTTGTTATCAGAGTGGAAAGGGAGGAGGATTATTAATTATTTTCAGTGGCAAATACAGTGGGAAGGGTATAGTTTATATTGCATCATGGTTTTAAGGGGCATGAAATATGGTGACAGTTGAATTAGATTATTAAAAGTAGATGTGTAGCTTTGTAGTGGTGGGTGGTGTTTTTGTAGTTTTTTTTTTCTTGCATTTTGATTTGGCTTTCGTGTGAGAGCAGTTGGGGGGGGGGGGGTGGTTAGGGGGGGCTGGTTATATTATTAGAGATTATGTTATACACACATCATGCGGAAATATAAAAAAACAATTAATCATGTTGGATGTTGGTTTCCAATCGGATTAAGGAATGTGAATATAAGAAGAGAAATAAAGATTATATATTTAATTAAGATATTAATAAATGTAACATTAAAAGAGATTTACCGGTACTAAAAAAATACAGTAACCCTGAAAATTAGCAATCCAAGTTCTTCCTTTATGGTAGGCACTAACCCCAGATTCATAAAAGGTATCGTCGGTAGGGGATCGCCTACAAACTGAGTTTAGGTTGGTCTGTATTACTTAATTTTGTTCAATAGCTAATAAACAATAAGTGTTCTCTGAAACTCCTATACATGTTGTCGTATTAGTTGTTTTGTCTTTTTTATTTTCTCTTGTTGTAGTTTTTCATTGACTTTCCTGTTTTTGTTTTGTTTTTTTTTTTTTTTTTGTTGCTTGACTGCTACCAGCAGAGCTTTTTGGTTGTTTCATTTTTATTGTTTTTCACATATACTAATTTTCGCGCTGTCCAACAGCAACTAATTGTCCCCTAAATTACATCAATTATAAAATACAAATCATGGATGGTGGGAGTCAGACTTAATGAATTTGTTATTGTATTGGTGGGTGGGTGTGGGAAAAATAATGGATGTCTTGCAGTCCTGAGGATCAATCCAACCTGAACAACTCCAAAGTGCTATTTTTATTATAATCGAGAAGTTAGAGTGAGCCGAAAGAATTGACAAATATTTTGTTTTTGAATGGAGTAGGCTTATCTCTCTCTCTATATGTATAGTTTAGGAGGATTTAATGTTATAAATGTTTTTATATGATTAAATTTGTGTAATTAAAAATTCTTTTATTAAGGGGAGATTAGTTATTGTTTTTTTTATTTTTTGGTTAGGATTTTGTTATGTGTGAAGCGTTTTTTGTGGTTGGTGTGGTGGGTGGTGTATATTTATGGAGAGAGATGTTTAGGTGGTTATATATGGAAAGAATGGGAGTGTTGTGATTTAAGTGCGCATTAGAGACGTGTGAAGAGTAAGCTTGTGGGATATGGTTTTTATAATTTTTTAAATGTGGGAGAGTAAAAAATTTTGGATGTTTGAAATTTAAAATTAAAAAAGGTGGATAGATAAATCTCATCTATATACACATCATAATAATTGAATATAAGTGTGGGATAATTTTGTAGGGGATAGTATTATTTTAGTGAAAGGGTGATAGTAAGAAGTGAAGATTGAATTGATGGGTGGTGGGGGGGTTTGTGGTGTTTTATTTGTTTGTGGAGGAATTGTTTAATAAATATAGAAGGAATTAAATTATAGATTGGGGGGGGGGGGGTTGGTGGGGGGGGAGAGAGTGAGGGGGGGGGGGGAAATAAATAGGTGGAGAGATAAAAAAGGTTTTATATATGTGGAGCAGATTTTTTGGATTTTTTATATAAATCAGTTTCTATCAAACTGACCACCACAAAAACCATATCCCCATGTACATAGAATTCAGAATATGCAGTGCATTTTTTGCCACTAAAGCCAAAACCCATCAAAAACATTTCCGATAGAGGTACGGGTAAAACCGTTAGTGTTGTTGTAAAATTCAATTCAATCCAGTATGGCGGTTTTGTACAATACACTTGTCCAAGCATTCATTGGATATTTCCAAAAATAAACATTAATATCATCATCCCTTGCGAAAACATATTTGTTTTCAGGATTTGCCGATAAAAAAAGAAAAATGGTGAAAAAAAAAAAAATTAAACACCTTTCAATTTAAGAAGCTATAACTCGTAAAAAAAAAAAAAAAAAAAAAAAAAAAAAAAGATGAATATAGCTAACGAGATGTTCTGCATCAATATTTGCCAGGGGGAAGAGGCTGGAACATGACTTTTCCAGGGTGGCCAGAAGAGTCATTGATCATTCTTAGAGCTCGGTTTAAAAGTCTGGATTTATAAAGAACCTCCAGAACAGGAAGCTCACAGCCCACGGTCCTCTTTGCAGAGCGGAGCACCTTGTTTAAAGCTCTCTTTTCTTTATCTGTGATGTTTCCGAACCACACAGACACAGAACCAACAAGCAAACTTTCAATGATGCAGAGATAAAAGTTTAGCAGAATCTTAGAGTTAGTGGTCAATCCCTAAGTTTCTGCAGGAACTAGAGACGCTAACGAGCTTTCTTAACAACCCGGTTAGTGTTTTTGTCCCTGTTCAGGTCTGGAAACGTGCACTCTTCTACAATCTGCACATGGGAGTTATCAATAACGACAGGCATCTAAGAACTGCTGCGGCTATAATCAAAGACCACTTCAAATGTTTCGGATGCGTTCAGCTGAAGGTTGTTTTCTTTACTCCACTGAACAATACTTTGGATTTCTGCTCTAAGGATTCATCATTATCACTGATATGACCGATGATGGTGGTGTACTGTACATACTTAAACATGTTTTAAATAAGTTTTGTCTCAACAAAAGCTAGTTTTCAGACCTTCCTGATCTGACAGGAGCATACAGAGGCAATAGTTCTGACAGATTTACAGGGGCCAAACCATTTAAACATTTAATAACAAGCATCAGAATTTGAAAGTCAACCCTGAATGTGACAGGGGCCAGTGAGCAAGCGAGCAGCAGCATTCTGCACCTGCTGAGGTCCAGATCACAGTACAGCGAGTTACAATAATCCAACCTAGATGAAATAAAAAGGTGGATAACTCGCCCAAAGTCAGTGGGTAAGATGTAAGCCTTCACTTTGCTCGAGACCCGGATCTGATAAAGGCTGGCTTTGATAACTGAATCAATTTGCTTGTTCATCCTGAAGCAACCTTGCTATCAAAAATAACTCCTAAGTTTCTAGCAGAGGAATGGACAAGAGCAGAGAGTGCACCAAGTGCATCAGTGAGGTCCACAGGGAGGCTGGAGCTAAAAACAACTATTTCAGTTTTAGTCTCGTTGAGAATATAACAAATTTGGGCCAGCCAAGTTTTTAATTCCTGGAGACAATCTAGCTCTGAAAAGGGAACCGGTAATATTCAACTGGAAAATATTCAACTTCCCAGTGGCCTGGAATGGAGCATAACCTGCAGGTCATACCTGCATGTGAATGCCTGATCCAGTCAGATCTCAGAGGCTTTGCTGAGCAGGACCAGGTTAGGACTGTGCGAGTACCCAGTACTGTGAGACCTGAGGGTCTTGGACACTGCAACAGTTTCGCACTTCTTGTGCATAAGCACAAGTTCATTGCTTTCTAACCTATTTCGCTGCACCATTACAACATGTTGCACCTTATTCTAAAGCTCATAACCTCCTGAAATCCCCATGTCACACTTTTATTTTAGACTGAAAGGACTGTACTCATCTTAGAAAGCCAACCAACTTCAGCTCTGTCATATGCACTTTGTGCCCTTCACAGTGACTCTGTAAGGACATCCCTAGTTGTTTGTCTGTATGCACGTTGCTGATGCCTCATGTGCTTCTGATCCCCAGGCGGTGTACAACCTGGCCAATGTGGCCTGTAAGTGCCACGGCGTGTCGGGCTCGTGCAGTTTGAAGACATGCTGGCTGCAGCTGGCTGATTTCAGACGAGTGGGAGAGTTCCTCAAGGAGAAGTACGACAGTGCAGCGGCCATGCGCGTCGGGAGGAAGGTACACGAGCACTTACTGTGTTTGTGTGGAGGCAGAAAAACAGATCAATGCCCATAAATGACCGAAGGAGCTTTTTCCCTCAACAAAACACAAAGTCAGCCAAACTATTAGGTCCCTTAAAAGTAGAGCTCAAATCCCCTATTTAAACATGATGTCTGTAATGTGTCGTTCAAAGTTTCCAGAGGCGACGTGAATGTCTATATTTGATAACCTGATATTGATAATAGACTCTGTTTGATGTGTTCAATCTGAGTGCTCTTATTTCCTTCTTTCTCTGCTGTAATGTGCGCAACGATGACAATGAAATTTCTCCTCTGTGAGACGAATAAAGGAATATCTTATCTTTAATATGACACCAGGTGCTACTGTTGCCATTATTATTATCATCATCATTTCTAATTCTGAATAAATTACGCTGCTGCAGGTAATTCTTTAGTCTCATGATTTGTATATAACATTTAAAACCTTTGGAATATCTTGAAACTGGACAGTAAGCCAAAATCAAAAATGATCAAAATATTTAACAAACAGACTTGGCCAATTTCACTATGCATGTCGTAGTTAGTTTTACATTTTAACCCTTTAATGGATTCCTCAACCATTTGGTGGATCACCTTTTGAGTTACTATACCCACTTGAAGCTTGGAACTGAAATATACCTCATTGGGTGCATCTCTATCACTTGGTTTTAGGCAATTTTAAAATCAAACTGCATCTCAACCATTTGGTAAAAGCCTTAATTTAAAAACAATGTGTTTTATTCAAACTTGATCTAGTTTTCAACCATAATCTCATCATGATATCATCTGAACCCACTCATAGCATCTTTATATCTATCCCAGGGCAAGCTGGAACTTGTGGACAAGCGCTTCAACACCCCCACGCCTGAAGACTTGGTGTACATTGACCAGAGTCCAGACTACTGCCTCCGCAACGAGAGCACAGGCTCCTTGGGCACCACGGGACGCCTCTGCAACAAGACGTCAGAGGGCATGGACGGCTGCGAGCTCATGTGCTGCGGCCGAGGCTACGACCAGTTCAAGACCTACAAGCATGAGCGCTGCCACTGCAAGTTCCACTGGTGCTGCTACGTCAAGTGCAAGCGCTGCACCACGCTGGTGGACCAGTTTGTCTGTAAGTAGGGCGCAGAGGGCCAAGCCAATGGAATTTCAAGAATTTTATCATTGGAAAAGTAGTGCCGTGAAAGACGCTGTGGATGCGAATAGTGGAATTCTTCAAAATGCAAAGACACAATGGATTTACAAATGTCTGGACGGTGTCTAGAAAAACCTTGGACATTGCATTTTTAAAGATTGGAGATACGTACGTAGAAGGGATTATGCTCTGGATATACATGTACACAATATTGTGCAGGATACAATCACTGTAAATTTAAAATAGTCTTTTCAAAGCATAGAGAATTCCTTGACATGAATACTGAAGTCCTTCATCGATTGATCCTTTGTAGAAAAGAGACAAAACATGAGTGATCAAATATTTCTGGAAGGCTTCTGCTGAACTGCTGAATCCACCATGGTGCAAACCATAGTACATAACCGTCTGGATTGGAGGTGAATTATGTGCATGAGAAAACACAGGATAAAGTACAAGACTTACAAGACTTAAGTGAAGTTGAAGGTTCCTTTGTCCTAAATACCCCATATGAAATCCAATGATTTGATGGCGCTCCTATTCATAACTCGTAACTGGATTAAAACGTCTATCCCCATCTGTTGGCATGTAACCAAGTAAACCAGATACTACTGAGACAAAGCCAGCTGATTGATTCAAGAGCACAGGGAAAAGCCATGCTTTTCTTAGAAATGTATGTATTTGGACGCATGTGGGCCACTCACTTATTTGGATCATCGTGATGAAGAACCTCGCTGCACTTGTTTCATTGTTTTGTTTTGGATATGTGAAGGGCTTGCACTGCGGAAATGTAACGCTTTATGCGTACATGCTGTCAAGTCTGTCTGAAAATCAAATGCTCAACTGTTGCAAAATTACATTCACCAATGATTGTGTGATAGCAAGTTTATTTACCATTGCACTTCCAATGTTTGAGTAATATGCCAAAGTTATAACACATCTTTGAAAGCTCCCTCTCATCCTGCGGATAAAGAGCCTCACATGTGGACTACACCGGTTTGAGAGTATTGACAAATAGTCTATTCCATATTCTGATGCTTTGTAAACGTACTCAATATCACAGCAAACTCTGTGGTGTTGCTATGACAGCTGATCACACACCATTCCCGGGACATAGCCAAACTGGGGACACTTGCAGGCCTGGCACCTCATTGCAGGGCACAGCCACCTCAAATAATTAACACTTAAATAATGGTTAAAAAGGGGCGACAGTAGCTCAGTTGGTAGAGCATTGGCCTCAAGGCCAGAAGGGCGTGGGTTCAATTCCCACCTCTGCACCTTCTCCACCGACTCCCACTGATGACTGCTGTCGTTGTGTCCTTGGGCAGGACACTTAACCCCACTTTGCCCAAAGCCCCCACTGAAAGATCAAGGCTATGTTCACACTCAGAGAGCAGCCGTCCTCCTGTGGACTCACCACCTGCAGAGGGTCAGTGAGGGGCTGGTGCTATGAGACTTGGGTGGCATCTCTGATTGCCACCCCCCTGACCCAGAAATGGATTAAAGGGTAGAAAATGGATGGATGGATGGATAATGGTTAAAAAGTTACAATGACCACAGACAAATCTTAGATGACTTCTGGAAGAGAGTAGGAAAATCATCTGAAGGAAATAGCCAAGACGCAAGCTTTACTTGTGGCTTTGAGATGACTTTTCCTGTCCTAAAAGGAGATAGCGTTCGACGATGGATCACTTGTGGCTAAATAACAGATGACACCCACCCAGTGAGTGTCATGATGTTTCTGCCACAATACATCCTTCTATAGCAGATGAAAGACTCAAGACTACAGTGTGATATGATAGACAAGAGAGGAGACAAAACCAATAACTTATGATAATTTCCATGGAGAACTCAGCTATGAATTTAAAAGCCAAATGCAAACGGCTTCTATACAATGGACATATATACGATCAACGCATCTTCATTAAAACTATATGGTGTCTAAAAAGTGTTTGACAAATGTGTATATATTCATAAATAAAGCACAAAAGACAGGATATTTATGGAGTGGCATAACTGAGCATATATGTGTTGTGGATTGGTGACAGTAAAAACATCTCATTATTCTCATTAAAATCCGATGTAAGGCCAATTTGAACGTTTTGAGTTTTTAAAAAAAGTAATATTAATTGTATTTCAGTTTGAGTTGGTGTTCTCAAAAAGCTTTGGTTTTAAGTCTGTTAAGGTCATGTTGACAAGTCGCAGTGAGGCTGTCTATCTGATCAACAGGGTGCATTACCCACAATTATCAGCAGAGGACAAATGGCATTAGTGTCCAACTCATCATTCGACGGAAATGTATTGGAAGATATAAAAGTGCATACACCTACAGAAGTTTTTATTGAAAGAATGTTTAAAGAAAGCATCTGATGTGATCCATTAACAAATGTTATGGTAAAAGTTGTTCCAAGTACATGTTGTACCCCAGGGCTACCCTTCGTCATCGGGTTGGTTCATTGGTTCAAGATTTAAGCTCCAGTTTGTGGATCACTGCTGTTGACCTCCAACCTGCACTATGGCAGTTTGGTTGAATCAGCACGTGCAGAAAGATGCATGCTGGAGGAGTTCAAGTCTCTCAAAGAGGATTGACTGGATTGGTACAGTGTGTATCGGACTGTTGTGATGAAGAGGGTGCTGATTCAAAAGGCACAGCTCTGGATTTACCAATCAATCACAGACCTCTGTGATCATGAGCTTTGGGTAATTGCTGAAGAGAACATGTGGATATAAGTTTATAAGTTTATAATTTTTACATACACATGATATGCAGGGAAATTCATGTGTAACTTCTAGCAGATATATCATAGCATGCACAACGTACACAAATTATATGTGGCCTAAATGAGAGAGGATGAGGAGCTCGGTCACATGGGAAGAGTCACCTGGTTTGAACATCTGTTTCAGGAGAAGAAAATGTCTTTTATCTGTCCTGGGAACGCTTCAGAATCAGAATCAGAATCATTTTTATTGCCACGTAAGTAACAGGAGGTCACAGACTAGGAAATTGCTTTGGCTCAGTGCAACAGTCAAAAAGAGATAATAAAAATAAGAATAAAAAACACTTCTAAAGAATACATTTAAAATAGAGTTACAGTTACTATTTCAGGATTCTCTGGATGATAGTTAGTAGGGGGATCTGTGCCTGCATTGCTACCTGGAAAGTATAACGTGAAAGAAGCTGAATGCATGGTGGAGGAATGTTATAGTGAGCCTCACAATGTAATATTTTCACTATAACAGATGGAGGCAGGTAATTGACCATCCACAATAAAGCTTACAATTAAGTCTGAAAAATAGAATAGAATCAAAGTAAGTGCAATGCAATCAACAAAATGCCACTACTTTCCTTGGGGAACTTATGAAGAAAGTGCACTGCCAGAAAAAGTCCTCAAGATCAGCATGTTTAGAGATCAATAATATAAAATAAAATTCATCAATACACAGCTGTAGCTACTATCTGAAGGGCCTGTTCGCTCAGCCTCTGCTTGAACGGCTGTTGTCTCTGTCAGCCATCTTGGAACGGATCTGCACTCTTCAGCTGTCATATCGTCCATTATTGAGATGAATATTGTGTGATAAAAATAATGTATTAACTGGAGAGAATGATAGACACATCTCCTGCACCAGTGTCTTTGTATGCTAAGACTTATGAATGAATGAATTACCTGTGATGTTTTAATATTATGCCTTGGCCTAATCAATGCATGTGTAAGACAATAAAAGACCGCTATGTTGAGTGAAATTCATATTTATTTTTTCAATAAATTCAAATACATAATGATAAAGAAGTATTTATAGTAGTTTTGCATAACTTAAGTCTTATATCTAGTAGTAATATGCAATAAACAACAATACACACACAATACAAACATGAACACAAAGTCTCTTTGCATAAATGACAGCACAGTACTTCAGCTCTGTTTTTATGAGACACAATGGTGTATTGGCTGAATGTGTTGCTTTGAAAGTAGGCCAGTGTCATTATCAGTCAGGTGTTTGTTCTGCCATTACATCTGAATGCTCTGCACAGCTCACTGCTACTGCTGCTATTTTTACACTCCGTCTGAACCATGCAGCCTCCCTTCTCCTGCCCTCCTGCACGAGAAGAACGTGGTTTATTCAAAGAACTGGTGTAACCCTGAAAGCAGCACTTTTTCATCATTACTTTCATTCATGCATGTATGAGTAATCCAATTTATATAGCAACAATACCAACATATTTCCACTACAGGCTTTGACCTTGGAATTATCTCAAAATATGAAAGTAGATTTAAGCAACCTTGATCCACAAGCAAAATGACAGGGACAAAGTTACTCACACACAATGTAAGAATCGTCAGTGGTTTTTAAACTGTGTTAACAGGCCGTGTCGAGCCGGGACATGGAGTTGTGTGGTTTGGACCTGTGCTGGCTTTTCAGCTTGAGATAGGAATGTGTCAAAATAAAAGGGTCAAAACAAACATCTGACTTAAAAGTTCAGACATGCCTGCATCCTCCGCCAACTGAAGAAAACGAAAAATAGATGTGGAGGTCTGGGTTTGTGTCTCAGCAGAAAACATGATTTATTGTTGTTACAAAGCATAAAAGACTTTCAGAATCAGAATCAGAATCAGAATCATTTTTATTGCCAACGTAAGTAACGGGAGGTCACAGACTTGGAAATTGCTGTGACCTCCCTCACAGTGTTCCGATGGTTTTATACCAAGGTAAAAGACGGGGGCTTCCCTAAGTGTATGCCTAGTTGTCAATTGATAGATTCGACCTTCAAATAAAACCAACATAATGAATTCTCCATTTGTTGAAATGACCAGCTAAGTCATATTAAAGTTACACAAACATATTCAAAATCTCAAAATGTGCCCTTGGATCAGGTTTGTACAGTGGTGCCATCTGCTGTGACTGTGCCCTGTGCCCCCCTCCATATTTACAGTCTGTGCAGTCTGTGGACACATTAATATAAGGAGTATTCTACCAAAAATAGATCAAATTAATAGACTGTTAACTGACTCTAACTTGGATTACCTATGTGTGACTGAGAGTTGGCTGAATTCATCCACTCCAACAAACCTGATCAACATACCTGGTTACAAGTGTTACAGGAGAGACAGGGACCAAGGACGGGGTGGGGGTGTGCTATTATACATTAAAGAAATATTTAAATGTGAGAAAGTTTACATTGATGTGAAACTGGAATGCCTGGGGCTAAATGTAATTCTGTCTACAACAATGAAATTTAAATTAATCGTTATCTACAATCCACCCTCACATGGAGCCACTTTCTATGATGATTTTAAGAGTCTCCTATTGAATGTTGATAAATGTACTGAATGTATAATTATGGGTGATTTCAATATAAATTGGCAGGAGAAAAAAAGCAGAACAAAGCTGAAATCTTTGATGGATAAATTCAAATATAAGCAAATGATAAACAAACCTACTAGAATCACCAGACACAGCAAAACATTGATTGACTTGATTTTTGTAAATAGACCAGAAAGAATAACTAAAACATATAACCTGATAACAGGGCTTACCGATCATAATATGACATTAGTTGTCAGAAAGTTAACTAAAAAGCGTCTCATTAATCATAACAAAGCAGAGAACAAAATGAAAACAACAGGAATTCCCAAAGCAAAAATAAATGATTTTGAAAATGAGTTAAACCAAATTAATTGGAACAGTGTTACTGCGGAGTCTGATTTAAATTTGAGTGCATCCAATTTTGTCACTAAATTAAATGATGTAATAAATAAACACACACAAAGCTGGACAAGTAAACCAAGAAGGTATTCTCTTCCGTGGTTCAATAGTGACATTTGGCGAATGGCTAAAAATCGTGACCTTGCACTCAAAAAGTTCTTCAAATCTAGGAATAATACCGACCATCTCATTTTCACTGGCCTCAGGAATAAAGTCACAAGTGAGCTGCGCAAAGCTAAAACTAAATATTTTATAAAAATGATAGAAGAAGCAAATGGAAGCAGCTCCAAACTATGGCAACATATAAACAAATTGACAAATTCTAATCGGAAAAATCTTCAAATGACAGATTGCCTTAAAATTGATGATAATTATGTTAATGACAATCAGTCAATTGCAAACGAGTTCAACAAATTCTTTGTTGAATCAGTCCACGATCTTGCCAAACCATTCAAGGGCAAATTGCCTTCTGAGAGCAAAGCTCAGCGTAGCAGTACAGATCATTTTAAAATCAGAGAAGTTTTGCATGATGAAGTAAGGAAAATTATAGTCAATATGAAAAATTCTACATCAAGAGACATACATAATCTTAATGTAGCTCTAATTAAAAAACATCTAAGCAGCTTACTTGATCCTATAACTTACCTTGTAAACTTGTCAATACAAACAAACACTTTCCCACAGAGCTGGAAGATTGCTGTAATCACTCCAATTTATAAGTCAGGCGACAAAGACCAAGCCTGCAACTACAGGCCTATTTCCATTCTTCCTGTAGTTTCCAAAGTGCTGGAAAAAATTGTAGCTGGGCAATTAATAGAACATCTTGATAATAACCAACTGTTGCATCCCCAGCAGTTTGGGTTCAGACAAAAATACAGCACAGAAACAGCCAACTGCTTTTTGTTGGAACAGATCAAAGGTTCACTGGATAAAGGGAATGTCGTAGGCGCTGTGTTTTTAGATCTGAAGAAGGCCTTCGACACAGTGGACCATTGCATCTTATTGCAGAAATTACAGCAATTTCAATTTTCAGCTACAGCTCTGTCATGGTTTGAGTCCTACCTGGAGGGTAGAGAACAATGTGTGAAAGTAGGAAGCGTTAAATCCACCCTGAGTCCAAATGACTTAGGAGTGCCTCAAGGGTCAGTCCTAGGACCGTTGCTGTTTTCAATGTATATAAATGATCTCCCAGATTGCTGTCAGGGTGTAAACTGCCAGCTTTATGCTGACGACACAGTTATTTATGTGTCAGCAAAAACATCTGCACTGGCTGGGCAGCTGTTAACACAGGCTTCACATAACATCTCAAGATGGCTTCAACTGTCCCATTTAACTTTAAATGTAAAGAAAACATTCTCAATATGTTTCTCTATCAGCCGGAGGTCCCCTGACAGCACCTTTGAGGTTCAATTAGAACATGAACCCATTCAGGAGGTTCATGAAACAAAATACTTGGGCATTATCTTAGATAAACACCTGAAGTTCCAAAGTCAAGCAAATAACGTCTGCAGGAAAGTCAAATCAAATCTGAACTGTTTTCGTTTTATAAGAAGAGAGTTATCACATCACGCGGCTTTATTGTATATGCATGCAATGGTTTTTTCACATCTGTCATACTGCATTACAGCATGGTCACAAACATCGGCATCCACTCTGAAACCAGTCACCTCTCTGTATAAACAGGCAATTAAGATATTCGACAGGAAACCTTTGAGATGGCATCATTGTGATATCATACAAAAGCACAAGCTTTTTACTTTTGAAAACTTTATAAATTTTAGTATAATGAAATTGACTTTTAAATGTCTGAACAACTGTGTGTCACCACTGTTCTCTGGCCTCATGGTGAGGTTTCAGGGCTCTCTCAGACCCTCCACCAGAGCCTCAGTTAGCGGGGATTGTGTGCTCCCAAAGTTTAGAAAATCTTTTGGACAGTCGAGCTTCTCCTTTAGAGGGGCTACACTGTGGAACTCTCTCCCCACTGCACTGAAACTGCAGAATAATATCAACATCTTTACCAGAGAGCTTAAACAGTGGCTCAAATCGGGCCAAACTTGTTCCCATGTTTAAAACATGTCTTATCTTGTTTAATAATGTGTTTTATTGTAACCTTGTTTCCTATTGTGTTTTATCTTTGTAACCTAAAAGCCCCCTATGGACAGGTGTTGAAAATTAGCACTTGTGCTATAACACTTTAAACAATGCATCTGGTTCGTCCAATGTTAATTGCTATGTCCATATTAAATAAATAAATAAATGAAATGAAATGCTCCATACCTGCACCAGTACAAGCCAGATCTATGGAAAAACAAGCTGACACATATCATTCCTTATGTTTTGTCCAGTGCAAAAGACCACACTGTTTGTGTGTTAAAGCTGGGGTATCTTTTGTTTCATCAATAATGCATGATGTTTGTCCAACAGAAAGAATCCTGTAAAAGTAAAATGTTGTAAATCAATCAGACCACAACATGCTGTCCTTGTCGTATTGTAAAAACAAGTTGTCTATTGCCTGTCTATTTAAGCCAACACCTTAAACAGACCAAAAAAAGTACAGAATTTGTAAAAGAATATAATATAAATCAAAAAGAAAAACAGATTGTACAGGGCAGTGGAGGCAGCAGGGCAGAGTCTGGAAGAGGATGTGCAGATGGAAGGGAAGCATGAGCAGGTGAGGATAGGACAAAAACAGGAATTGCCAAGAACACAAACATCTGTCGAAGAGTGGAAGTAGAAACCAAGATTAATAATGTTGATGATGAGCTGCAACAAATGTGACAGAGGTCAAAAATACATGAATGTGAAAACCAGAGACAGAACCAAATGGGTTTAGAGCGAGGAACAGGTTAGATAGATTTGACGACGCAGTTCCTTTTTTGTGTGGTTTGAAAGTCAGGGGCTTCAGCTTTAAATAGGGCCTCAAGGTCTGTCACAAAAATGAGTATATTATTGTCAGATGATCTTCTTTATCAACGTAAGAAGGTGATAACAATTTTCTTAGTAAAACGGACAAATGGCTGATAAGTGCTCCTTATGATCCAAGTGTGAGCTATGTCTCTTCATTCTCCTGTCAGCGGATAACTCAATATGTTGTTTTTTGTGCTTTGCTGAAGAACAATTAGTATACAAACTTTCATCCCACCAACATGTGAAAATAACAAATTCACTATCATGTCCACCGGGATATGTGCAGCTTATCTCTCCTCTGCAGCCTCTACAGCCCCATAAACTAGTCCCTTTGAACTGTAGACTCTATATCAGGGAGCTTTACACAATGAAGGAATCTTTTTAGTCCATATACAATATAAAAAGGCATGCTCTCAGGAGTACTGGCTACAATCTATTATGCTACCATAGCTAACCAATGTTCATTGGCAAGTACAAAATTACAAATATTTTTATAAGCTGGCATATTGTGGTCAGATTGGTTTACATTTTACTTTTTAAGACAACACATATTCTTTATGGGGGGTAGGCACCTATTTTACCACTTATGTAACTCCTGATGTGTTTGTTCATGTCAAACAGGTGCGGTTAGGTGAAGTCACAGCCAGTATTGGTTTGATCCGTGTGCCATCATCAACATATGTTATTGTGATACAGACTTTAACATTTATCAAAGCACACATCTCTGGCTCATCAGTGAAAAACCGATTGGAAGTCTATTTTGCTCTTTATTTATTTATGTATTTATCTTATTGTTTATTTGGTTGGGACAGTGCATGTTGATGAACACACCTCTCCGGATTGTAGCCTTGGTCTAATTTGCATCCGTTGTCCCACATTCGCAATCACAAACACACACCCTGAACTATTTTACATGTTTTTTAGAGGTAGGGGAAACCGGAGCACCGGAAACTTACACAGACACGGAAAGGACATGCAAACTCCACTTAGAAAGGCCATGTTCCGACCAGTATTCAAACCCAGAACCTTCTTGCTGAGAAGTGAGAGTGCTATGCCATCCAGTAAACTTGCGTAAATGAGAAGTTTGTCATGAGGCCATGTTTGACAAACCTGGTGAGCAGGCTACATGATACTATCTATCAACAAGGTGGGGGTCGGGAGGGACTGATGGTGCATATTGACAGTGTTGCTTCAGTCTGTCCCCAGGCTTTAATAATCCATACATCTTCTTCACCTTAATCCATTTCTGGGTTGGGGGTGGCAGTCAGAGCTGCACCCAATTCGCAGAGCACCAGCCCCTCACTAATCCTCCTGCAGGTTGTGAGTCCACCACTGTCAGTGTGGGCTTCAGGCAAAGTGGGGTTGTGTCTTGCCCATAGACACAACAGCAGCAGACATCAGTGGGAGCAGGTCTCGTGGTGGGCTCGAACACACGACCTTCTATCTCAACAGCCAATGCTCTACCAGCATCACATTATATTGTGATTTGAAATCGTCTTCTTTCATGTCTGACTTTTCAACCACAAAAAAAATTAACGATGCAATGAAATTTTTGTTCTATCAGTACTTTTTGGCCTATGTCACACCTTTGGATCACCTTTTTCAGACAGAAAAGTGAAAAAGATAGGATCACCCTCACTCAGCCAATCAGCTCTTAGAAAAAAGAGTCACATACAGGGCTCTTTCTTACAAGTATGTAGATCTATGTTTTCTAATGAGATGAAAAAGAAGAAAAAAGTCAAGTATCACTTTCTGTTTCTCCTCTTCCCCTTGTCTACTTATCTATTATATATTATAGATTATATTTTAGATTGCAAACATTTTCATAAATTTGGTCAAAATGAAGCACTTGCAAAACATTCTGGTCACAAAGGGCTGCATAACAAGCCTTGGTTTCAAGGGTCATTTTTCTCAATGAGGATTGCAAGTAAATAAACGCAAGTGCGGAAATGTGATATTATGTAACACGTGCAATGAATGGAACAGCTAATAATAGAAATGCAAATGTATTTATGCTAATCATCCTCTGCCCGGTGCGTTTATAAGTAGCAGCTTATCTATAAATAGGCCAGTGTGAGCGAGACCAGGGGGCTGCTGCGTGATCTCAGATGTGATTAGACAAAAAAACATGTAGCAGTTTGAATGTAACGTCATGCAAACAGTGTCAGCAGTATGCACAGCGTTCAGGCAGGGGCTGCTCTTAGGCAAGTTCAGAGTTTGGACATGAGAAAGTGATTATTCAGTTCATATGTTTTAACTATGGTATGCTTTTAGAACTGTAGACTTACCACCCATAGAGGGGTTCATGGGCCTCAACTGCACAGAGGACTGGGTGGTGGTTGAAGGCTTTTGGGAGCTATAATGACCTAATGGACGAGTTCCTCTGCAGAGTGGCGTTACCTTAGAGATAGGATAAGGAGCTTGAAGTAGAGCTGCTGCTTGTCTCCTGGACGCTTTCCTGGGGTGATGTTCCAGGCACGTCCCACCAGGAGGAGACCGGTGTAAGACCTACAACACAATATCTCTTAGCTAGCTTGGGAACGGCTCGGGATTCCCCTGTATGAGCTGTAAGAAATGGAAGTCTGTGGAAGTCTCAGCATCTCTGCTTGGACTTCTGACCCGGCACCAGATGAAGTGGAAGAAAATGGATGAATGGATGAAAAATGGATCCACTATCAACTTGTTTGAGTCAAAATAAGTCTGCAATAACATCGTAGTAGACATAAGCACAGGTCATTTTAAACTTGACTGCTGTTGTTTAATTGTTTTTGTAAGAAATAAAACTATTGACTACTTCTCTTTTATTAACTCAACTTTGTAATACTCTATCATTACTCCTGGGCTGAAACCTGTGGCAACTGGACGGCTCAACTACATACTTTGTTACATGTGACAGCTGCTTGTCTTGATATAATTGTTAGTAGCCCCTGATATGGTTTTTTGTTTTAAATGTCATAAACTTGTTTTAACCTAAAACCTAAACCTAAAAAGTTATAAAAGGTTTGAAAAATACGTATTTGACCAAATGCAAGACAACACAAGACTGTACTTTGGTCCACAATATTGGGTCAATCCAACACTGTTTTCATTTAATTAGTTTTCTAATTTTAATTTATTTTTACCAAACCATAATCCTGAAACCTTTAGCCAAATCTGTGGTAAACATACGGTAAGTAATTGGGTCAAACTACAGATGGAATATTGGAAACATACGATTCCATTGTGAGCATAATTGGGGCGACAGTGGCTCAGTTGGTAGAGCATTAGCCTCTGAGCCTGAAGGTTGACTTTCTTTTCGGTCTGCTGTCGCTGTTTCCTTGGGCAAGGAAAATCAATGACTGTTTTTCTGATGTTGTTTCTGTGAGCACCGGATCTCCTCAGGGATGTATTTTGTATTTTGAGTCCTTTACTTTTCACATTGTACACTCACGACTGTGTGTCTTCCTCTGACTCAAACTTGATCATCAAATATGCTGATGACACCACCATCACCGGTCTCATCAGTAACAATGATGAATCCTCTTATAGAGCAGAGATACAAAATGTGGTTCAGTGGAATAAAACTAACAACCTCCAGCTGAACGCATCGAAAACATGTTAACTGGTCTTTGAATTCAGTTGTAATAGTTCTCATTTGCCTGTCGTAATCGACAACTCCCAGGTGCAGATCGTAGAGGAGTGCAAGTTTCTGGGTTTAACTCTGTCTAACGATCTGAAATGGGTTAAAAACACTGACCGAGTCGTTAAGAAAGCTCGTCAGCGTCTCTACTTTCTGCGTAAACTTAGAGAATTTACCACTAACTCTAAGATTCTGCTTAACTTTTATCGCTGCACCATTGAGAGTTTACTTGTTGGTTCTGTGTCTGTGTGGTTTGGAAACATCACAGATAAAGAAAAGAGAGCTTTAAACAAGGTGCTCCGCTCTGCAAAGAGGACCGTGGGCTGTGAGCTTCCTGTTCTGGAGGTTCTTTATAAATCCAGACTTTTATACAGAGCTCTGAGAATTATCAATGACTCTTCTGGCCACCCTGGAAAAGCCTTGTTTCAGCTTCTTCCCTCTGGCAGAAGATATCGTTTGCTGAGATGCAGGACATCTCGTTACGCTAACAGTTTTTTCCACAGGCTGTTATCAGTGTGAACAGAGCACTTTAAAATTATCTTGCACTTGTTTTGATATTGTTTTGGTCGATTTCACAGTGACAATAATTTACTGTTTTATTTGTTTCATGTCTTTTAATGTTGTTTTATATCTGTCTTGTCTTGTGCACACTGGGGACTTTTGCAAATGTATTCCAATGTGGTTTGACTGCAAATGGCAAATAAATGAAGACGGAGGGGCCGATGGCACAGAATGGTTGCCTCGCTTCTATCATTGTGCCCCAGTGCAGCTGTGGCTACAGCAGTAGTGTATCACCATTGTGTATTGAGTAAATTAATATTGACATGTGAAGCGTCTTTGAAAGAAAAAAATTAAAACGGTATATAAAACCAATGCATTATTATTGAACAAAGTCTAAACAAAGTTGTGGCTGCTGACTGTGGGTGGGCGATATGGGCAAAAATAAATATCTTGATATTGTTTTCCCAACTCCCAATAATGATATTCTCACGATATCTTTAAAATCAATAATTTATACACAAAAAGATCTCCAATGTTTTGCTTGCATCTGTATAGAGACAGTGTAGATCAAAATAGCAGCTTTTTTTTATTTGTAAAGTGCTTCACACATCTTTGCAAAACATGCACAAACATATATTAACATAAAAAATGTAATTCAAGTAACACGGGAAAAACACATCCAAAAAGGCTTGCCAAGTATTTACTGAAATGTACAAATAAAGCAGTGATTGGATTTTTAGGCACGCATTTGACAAATGGGCATCTTGCCTGCTCTAAATGTAATATATATTAGATACTGTACATGTTAGTAGCATGAGAGTATGGGCTAAAGTGGCTAAGTCACAATTTGACTGGGCCCATAAGAACATTCTGAGTTGGAGTTTAATTTGTCATTCTACCGGCAGTCTGCCCTTCCTCCACTTGACACCGACAGGGTGTTAGCACCACAGTGCCTGTGCTGCTTTATAATGCACCACTGAGCAAAATAGCAAAGAGCTGATAAACATGAGACTTCTACTCCAAACCATTGAATAAGATGATAAAGTCTGGGATCCTGTCTTTAATTCAGACAGAAGACATGTTTTATTGTTGATGGTAGAGCATGAACAAGAGCACGAACAAGGATGTAAGAAAATGCAAGTGGTAATATACAGCAGAGGAATGAACACCGTCCAATCAGCTTTCGCCGCGATGCCAGTCGCTTGGCCTTCAGAAATCAAAACAATGGAATAGTACTGGCTCCTGCAAATGTTAGAATGAGTTTGACCTTTAACCACAGTTGCTTCAAAGTGTTATGAAATCTCACACTATCAACCAGATCAGTGGAAAGTATCAGAGTGGAACGTTTGTTGGAAGCTCATCATTTGTGTCATTTTTATATTTCATGAAGGCATTTTGACAAAAGGTTTTTTAAATTTATTATAAGCTTAGATGTTATTAGTTCAGTTTTTAATGACTCATCATTACAAACTAATGACTCATCATTACAAACTGAATGTTCCATCGGGGCTGGCCACGCCTCCTCACTAGGAGTTTTTATCCATTCTTTGCTCAGAGTTCTTTGAGAATGTTCTGGAAAAACTTTTAAGCTAAGACTCCAAGCTAGGAGTTTTTAGGTTAAGTTAGGAGCTCTTCAGGCACACAGCCTCTGATCTTTATCAATGCAAACTGCAAAATTAATATATAAACATGTCTCAATACAAGTGCGGAAGCAATCTGTTTCTCATTCCACGAGAACATTTCCACTTTTGATATTTTTTTTTAAATCTTGTTTTAAGATCAAGTAAATTTTCTAAAAATTATGAAGTTCTAATGTTATTTTTAAAAGATATGATAGTTCTTTAAAAGGCAAAAAATTAATATCACTTGTGTCATCTTTTTCCAAAATTTGCGGATGAGTACTACTGTGGTTTTGAAAGTTGTACTCTTTGAAAAGTGTCAGATGCATGAAGTCTCTGCACAAACTCATCCACAAATTCCAAGTTCTTCAGATTCCCCCAGGTCTCTGTCCAGATCTCAGACTGCTCGTCAGACGTGTCAAACCTGATTTTCCGCCATTGCAGTAACAGTGATGCTTGTGAAACTGCATGGAACACGCCCAGGCTGTCATGTGCCGCGCCAATCCTTTTACAACAATAGTCCCAATTAGAAATCAGCTTAAACAAGTTTCTTCACTTCAGTTTCATTCAGATATGCCCAACTGTGAGAGCAGAACAATAACAGTAGAACGTTTTCTGGTGGGGCGGCTGGAACTCTCAGAATGAGTTGGAGTGAGGTCATTTTTCAGATGCAGCAGAAGCCACATTCTTTTAAAAAAGGAAATACAAAAACACAAGAAAACAAAACATCTCTTCAAACACTCTTCAACGATTGGCATATCCCAATATATGGATTTCTGTGTTGCAATCAGTATGTTAATACTGAACACTGATACTCATGTTAATGCACACACATATACTAATAAACAACATAGGCTAAGCCAGTGGTTCCTAAAGTGGGGGCACAGAGCAATTGAGCAGGGGGGAACAAATTAATGAACAGAAAATACAGTCGGCTAAATGACACTGCTCGCATAAGATGGGCAATTTTGATACATTACGATCTTCATAGGGCTGTGGTTTCTTATGTAGCAAAGGGGAACCCAGCAGAAAAAGTTTGGGAATCACTGGGCTAAGCTACATGATTTGTCAGATTTGTCACAGCACATGCTGTAATTAGGTAAATATGTTTTTTAATGATGTTAGCATGTAAGACATTTACGCACACTGGCTCAATAGAATTATGTTTACTAATGAAATGTTGCTACATTGATACATTGTCACAGTTGTTAGGCCAGCAACGAGAACCCGTTTCTTCATCTTGCATAGAAAGATTCAAAAGCCATAAGAAACTGTACTATCATCTCCAAAAACTGCGAAATGTCAAGGCATTTATGTGAAAATAGGTCCTGATAGAGCTAGAATGGCACAAAGTAATATTTGGGCTTAACTGAGCCAAAAACAATATAGCAGGCAGTAATACTTCATAGGTATATTTGGAATATCATTCTCTTATCATTGTCTTCTGAGTCTGCGCCATGGTTGTGGACGGTTGTGGACAGTTGTGGCCTACATAAGTTCTCTGACGGCTCTGCCATCATTGGACTCAGCTCCGAGGACGATGAGGACAGAGGAGTAGTACAGGACTTTGTGGACTGGAATCAGGGGAACCAGCTTCTCATCAACGCAGGTAAGACCGAGGAGAAGGTGGTGGATTTCTGCAGACGTCACTCTGCTGCTCAAAGCCCCTAGTGAACATCCAGGGAAAGGACATTGAGAGAATGGACTCTCACAAGTACCTGGGTGTTTATCTGAACCACAAACTAGACTGGACTCATAACACAGACGCCCTCTTCAAGAAGGGCCAGAGGCGACTCTACCTGCTGAGGAGGCTCAAGTCTTTTGGAGTGCAGGGGCCACTCCTAAAGACCTTCTATGACTCTGTGGTGGCATCAGCCATCTTGTATGGTGTGGTCTGCTGGAGCAGCAGCATCACAGAGAGGGACAGGAAGAAGCTGGACAAGGTCATCAGGAAGTCCAGCTCAGTCCTGGGCTGTTCTCTGGACACAGTGCAGCAGGTGGGGAACAGGAGGGTCCTGGACAAACAAACATCTATGCTGGACCATGACTGTCACCCACTGCAGGACACCACTCTCTGCTCTGGAGAGCAGCTTCAGTGACAGACTTATTCTTCCCTGCTGTGTGAAGGAGAGGTTCTGCCCGACTTTCTTTCCTGCTGCTGTCAGAGTGTACAACAAACAATGAGGACTATTTAACACTGCAAACCTGATTTCACATGTCATGTGACGGTGCAATATCCTTAACTAATATCAGAATTTGCAATAGCCACATGTCACTGTCGACTTTACTGAGTCAATGTGTCCCAGAGCCTCATTGTAGATGTAAACCATGATGTAAACATGCTGCTGCTAACAAGTACAGATGAACATATAACTCCGTAATGCTTTATCCATGCCTTCTATTTTTGCCAAATGTAAAAACATTTATACTTTTTTTTATGTTCAAGATTTAATACTTGTTTCTTTGATGCTATAGTTAGAGATTTTGTTTTATTTTAATTAGCATTGTTATTGTTCACTTATGCTGCGTGCTCCTCCTTTCTTTTGTTTTGTAACTTGTGATGCAACACTGAAATTTCCCCGCTGGGGGACGAATAAAGGATTTCTTAATCTTAATCTTAAAATATGAGGATACATGTTAGTGATGACACCCTTTAACCCACGTGTACTATAGATATACTCTAGTAAAGGGCTGAAAGTAAAGTGACGTTCAATCCCTTTTATGAGGTCTGAAGAACTGCGAAACCTTCCCTAATGTTTACTTCCTGTTATGGTGTGGTGAGATTGGCCCGCTGGGGGCTCGCGCTCTGAGCTGATTGGCTGCTGGTGGCTCGTACGGTGCCGCTCCAGTTTACTGAGCTCCAGTGTGGAGAGAATCAGCGCCGTGAACACATCCACAGCTCCCCGCCAAAGCACAACGCATTCTCCGGTCAAACACCAGGTAAGCTCCGTTACAGCAAGCTATGAGGCCCACTTTACCCGCTGTATTCCATCTGAGCCAACGCTATTCTGCCAATTGTTCAGCAAACAGATGCTGTAACGTTAGCTTAGCACTTTTCCTGCTTAAAGTCAAATCCGTCATAGTGTAACTGCTAGCAGCTAGAGCAAGCGTGATTGTGGCGGCCATCTTGCGTGTCTATTCCTAATTAATAAATGTTGTTTTGATGTTTTTAATGTTTACACTGGACGGGTTTCGTCGAAATTGAAAGTGTTATTGTGTGTATAAAATTGCCTGTATGTTTGGGTAATGACATTTCCATGACACATAAGACAAGGTAAACAGCTCCAAGTCCTATATTGACAATTACCGTTAAAGTAATTATTTGTGTTTACATTTTACGCCCTTTAAATCCCTCATTTGTACATCTTTTTGAGTATTGAATGTGTCTTTTGATTTGCACTAGTTACATTGTGAAAATAGTTTGTCACATTTCATAAAAAAATAAATAAAAAAAATCTTCACGTTGAATATAACATGGGCTTTAGATAAGGTTCAAACATTAAGTTATGCAATTATATTATTGTATTTAATCCACATCCATTTGGAGCTAGAATTGTTTGCCTTGTACTTACTGTATAATACCATGGCGGTGCTCTCTCTAGTCCTCATCATCTGTCTACGGTCAAAACAACGCAACTCTTAATCTGCTAACCCGACAAAGACAAGCGCTTTTTACTATACTATCCACATGCAATCGTTGAAAGCCAGATGTTCGCCAAAAGCCTATTCGTAAACCCATCCAAATATCAAACTGTCAACAGCACATTACACCCTGCGAAATAGTTGTGGGGTCTTTTCTCGGACGTGGCAGCTCTTGTTAGCGGACTAGCTTGCGTGTAAACAAGCCAGCGTCTGCCTGTATCTGTGGCATCTGCAGTGTCCAGTTTGGTCGTCGCTGATCGCCCTTTGCTCACGGTCAAACAGAGTGTATGTACATGCGTGTACCAAGTTTGCAGGAATTGTGTGGAATTCAATGCTGTCAACAAGAAGTGAGGCAATAGTTTGGTGGTTCTTTCTTTGTCTCTGATGCTCGATGTTGTTGAGTTGATGTTGAGTGCTTCTCCAGATGGACTCCGTGCTATTGGATTCTTTGTTTTCATCAGATTTTGGAGTGATTTTCTAATTATTTCAATTTTTGTTATTGTAAATTGGGCAGTAATCGTTCTTAACCATCCACTTTTTGAAGTAGAGAAAAGAGCCAGACTTTATACTACTATTTTGCTCACTCTCTCCTTTTGGTGACACAAGTCTGTACAGCAATGATGCCTCAAACATTCTATGATGAAACATTAACTCATTCTTTGAAATTAAAGAACAAATGATGATCCGTCTACTGCTCTATGTAGAGACTTAGAGCCTCAATTACATAAAAGATCAAACAGAACTGTATTGTGCTGTCAATACTCTTTTCTAAAAATGGTTCTTTGTTATGACTCAATGGTTTAGTCGGGGGAATATAATGTAATGGTGTTTTATGTGGCTTCACTTTTCTGTCAGACACTACTGTAATCTGTTAATTGAAAGAATAATTGTTAGATGAATTTATTATTAGAAAAATCGTACAGTGAGATCCTTTACAACAATATGCGTGTTGATGATGAGCAGACCTCACCCTTTTAATGCCTGTAATAAAATTGTTTATTGTCATTCTGTTTTGTTACCATCAATAATTTACCAACGTTATGGTCATAATGATGAAATTATCGAGCATAATAAAAAGGATAACACAGCTAAATCTACTTGAAATACAGTTTTCCTCGTGGCGTGAGTGAGCATTTGTTAGCTTTACTTCAGAGGAGCACCGCCCCCTTATTGAAAACAGCGTGGTCAAAATCTGTGTAGACATTCTAAATCTGCATTTAGAATGTTTTGTCTTTTAATGGTGCATGATGGGGCCAGTCCATCTCTTGTGTGTTTTTGCGGTGCTGTTGTGGGCTCATAAATATTAGATGACCTGTGAGTATTGGGCCCTCTTCCATCCAAACTTTTACACATCCAACACTTCTCTCTTACTAACCTTTTCCCAGCCAGTGACACGTTAAGGCTGTTCTTAGAATTGCTTTTCAGTGGTTTAAAGTAGAGCTGACCAAAAAAAAAAAAAAAAATCAATAATATTTTTTTTGTGACGATCTAGCTTGTTACAGTCCTATTTTGAAGGTTCATTACACAACTTTTCTGGTATGGTTGTTGCCATCGATAAAATTGCTTATGCGAAACCAATACTACTGGTATTGTATGGGTCAGCGTTTGGTCAAAGTAACTAATTAATTTCAACAAATTTGATTTTTCTGGCCAAATCTTCCACACCTATTCTTCAAAAACCTATCAAATCTACACAGTGCTCTGAGATCTGGCATTGGTAAAGTCTGATTAAAAATCGGAATCAGAATCATTTTTATTGCCATGTAAGTCACAGACTAGGAAATTGCGAACAGTCAAAAGAAGAGTTGTCGAGAATAGCATATGGAATAGTAAAAATCAGCATATTTCTAACATAAAAATTAAAATTATTACTATACAAGTGCACTTGGTGCACACGATATGAAGTAAGCATAAGGTTTATTGCTATAAGGTGCCAGCAGTAAAGTGACTTTATGAAGGACAGTAAAAAAGAATGTTTAGGTGTTAATTTAAACATGATCCTTTCTTTTTAAAATCTTTTTGAACGGAAGCGCTGGTAAGAGCTGGCTGCTTGCCTCTCTCCCTAGATCTTACTTTTCTTGCTTTTATTGCATGTCACTGTTGAGTGTGAGTACTTCAACCCTGATCTAACCACTTAATACATCAATATTCTTGCTATTGATATATAACATCAATATTAATAATATAACATCAATATTATTCTCGATTATTGATACATCAATCATCGAGTGTCTTATAGATGTATGTATAAAGACTATAAAATCCCTTTTTGCTGCTTGTAGTACTCTTGAGCCGCAGTCGCTCTCCTTGCTCTGACGCAATATATAATATTTAATATATTTGTGTGAATAACTAAGCCTGAGAAAAACATTGGGCACAGGCTGATATTCCCCAGGAGAAGATGTTCTCCTATGTCTGCACTAGAGTAAAGTTTATTCTTTACAATCTATAAATTATATCTTTTTTATTATGTTTTGTATTTTTGTATACTTAGTTTCTTTAATAAACTGGTTGTTATTATTTTACCCCACCCCAAATTATATGTGGAAGAATAAGAATAAAAGAATATGTGGAAGGTCTGTAAATTTTGATATTACGGCAGTACGTATTAAGTGTTTGTAATAAGCTTCATGTTTAAATTTTTTTTTATATTTTTAGAGATAGACATTTCTATATTGTTCATGTTTATTGTCAAAAGTGTTTATAACACCTTAAACAAAGCAGGTGCATAAGACTCGAGCATTTCCAATTCTCTTATGCTCACAGACTGTGTGCAGTCTTTTCGTCAGTGTGGAGGTGTCTAGAGATAATGACAAGTCTATAGGAGCAGTAAGCCTCTTATGGACTAAACTCTAACACCATTAGCACAGGCAGAACAATATAAGCTACATCAAGGTTGGCCCTGTCACGTTTCAAAACCTTTTTCATCTAGTCTATTTCAACAATTCAGCCCATTATAGCAAGCCATTATTGTGTTCAGGATTTGGAACAAGATGCATTTAAATGATCAAATGTCATATTTTTTGGCCCCAATTCAAAATTTTTGTTACATTTTTAATCCTTGGTTAATCCAGATTGGATTAGACTTCAACCCTGAGATCTGATTTAGCCTCCGTTTACTTTCGTTTGACCACCCACAGCTTCAAAACCATGGCACTGGCTTTGGAACATTGTCATTTGTTCAATTTCAATACACACCTACTTATTATGTTTGAAGTACTTTTGGAGCACTTTGACATGTTTAAGATATTTTTGCAGTCGCTTGAAAGCAAAATCGTGCAAGGCTAAATAATCAAGGTTTGTTTGATTTCTTTGGTCAGCCTTGCCATGTTTATTTTAGCTAGCGAAGGCCAATTTTTCCTATTTTAGATTGACAAATGCTCCTCTTCAGGGCCGTAACAAGTTACCATATCTATTATAGAGTGGGAATGTGTGCATGCGTATGCCGATGAGTACTTTTGAAACCTTCAGTACAATGCCCATTTAGGTACCCGTGCATGTCGGTAAAATGCTAATACTCCTCTTGCCTCAGCCCGGTTCTCCTCGGTCTAGTGTGGTCATGTGCATTTGGACACTAGTTTCCTTTGTTGAACTCTGCTCCATTTGACCACAGCTTTAGAAATGCTCATGTGTCAGTTAGGACTGGGCCTCATTCAATACATTCAAAGCAGATGAGATGTATTTTACAGGAAAGCAAAACTCACTTTTATCACTCTCAAAATAGTATGGACATGAATTGTAAACGGAAAAATAAAAAACAAATGCCAAAATTCATGGTCAAGGGTTTATAATGCTTTATGAATAAATTGTTAAATCAATTAGTTGAACAATTATTCTTTCAAAAGATCGACTAGTTGTTTAATTGTAAAGCTTAATGAATATAGGATCTTTCTACATGTGACTAAATAAAAGCACAAACTATAGCGCAGACAACATCACAATGTCTCATTATTTACCATTTGAAATCTTAAAGGAGCTATACCGGTTTCTGCAAGGTTTGAATGTTTAGCACCGCCCCTCAACTCGCTCACAGGCTTCTCATTTCCCCTACGCTCTCTTTCCACGGAGCCATCTAGTTTTATTTGCAATCTGACACATATGCAAACATTAGCATGAGCGCAACTTAAGCTGTACAATAATCACTGATGAAATGGTACAAAGGCAACGCACTGCACAAAACAACAAAATATATAACTGAGAGATTACCGCTAGTTCCACGTCCGAGTGTAGTCCAAGCATAGATAGTCTGAGGCGGTCCCGCAGGTCTCTCCCATAGACAAGTCTCTCCAGAGGATAAG